GAACCACCCTGCAGGGAGCATCTTGTAGACGCAGCCTTGGTTGGGTGTTTTTCGGGATACATTCCTAGAGATGGAATCAATGGATCTCAAGTTTATTTCAATGAGGTGTTTTATTTTACAGAAAAGATTTTAGGCAAGTCAGATAAGACCAAACATACATATACACACTTATACATATACACACACACATGCATATGTATACCCTTCCACTCACCGTCTTTGGACTCGCAGCATAACTTTTTTTAGTGTCAGACAATAACTAGAGCAGGATGTGTGTCCTTTTCTTCTTTTTTAATGGGCTCTGGCTGGCTAAGGAACCAGCCTCCCCTGGCTCCCTGCTTCCTGCCTGTCTCTGCAGCTTTGTGATCAGTGCGAGACTCCTGACGGCAGGCCCTGGGCGCCCCTCTAGGCAAGGGAGCTCTGGCGGCTGCAGTGCCTCCAGTCAGCACGCTGGGCTCAGGATGAGCTACAGCAGTTCAGGCTGTTTGTTTTCTCAAGGGCTTGAACTGGAGAGTGGGATTGCTGCAGTTTTCCCTCTCCCCTCGTACCCTATTGTGCAAGCCAGATATTCAGCTAAAACCAGATCCTAATGGCTGTGCTAGGCACTTCACGTCTCAGGCTGCTGTCAATTATTAAATGGTTCTACACATAAGGAAAACTGCCCAGCACAAATTCTCTTCAGTGTTCATTCAAAACCTACTTTTTTCCCCACTTTGTGTCACGGTATGTCACTTACCTGCTCCTGATCCCACTGAGGTAGCTGTTCCTAGCAACCCCACACGGCACAGCAGGGTCACATTCAACTCCTCGGGCCCAGCTTCCCAAGCAAGTCGGTTTTGCAAGTTATTTAGCAAGGCATGTCTCTCTATAAGATCTCTTTAATCAATTGAATGTGATCCTCTACCCCGCCCCCCCCATTTTTCTGTTGTGAGTGTTCACAGAATCTGGATCTGCCAGCTACTTCTGTTTGAAGTGGAAGAGTTGGCAAAATTACGCGCCCAGCAGGCAAGAAGTGAAGTGGAAGTGTCTCATAAGTAACAGTGAAATCTGTTGCATTGTCTTAAGATTTAACTAATTTTAAAAAAAGCCCTACGAAATATTGCCTTGGCGACTATAAAAATATTTTAGCAATGATACAACCTTTATAGTAACAGCTGACGGACACCTGAAACCTAATGTCTGTCTGTCTGACACTCCTAATTATACACAATCACATTATACGTATTTATCCCATTCTTCACTGAATGCTGTGTAATTTTCCATTTGAGTTTTACAGTTAGTGTTTTATGAGTCCTTTGTATGGCCAAGCAGCCAATTTCCCCCCTGCTGAGTTTTACTTATAAAATTGGAAATGAGTTCATTAGATCACTTGCAGCAGCTCTAATTTGAAATCTTGAACAATGCATTTCTAATTTAAAAATTTCCAATCAAGCAGACTTCTACAACTCAGGTTATTTTTCCAGGTGTTTGTGCACATCCTTAAGACCAGGAACAGTCCCACGACTTCTTCGTGTTGGACTGTGTTTTTCACTCATTTCTCTCATCTTACTCCGTATTTACTCGTTTACTTTTATTTTTAGACAGAGGGGAAGGGAAGGAGAAAGAGAGGGAGAGAAACACCGATGTGTGGTGGCCTCTCACACGCCCCTCACTGGGGACCTGGCCTGCAACCCAGGCATGTGCCCTGACTGGGAATCGAACTGTGACCCTTCAGGTCACAGGCTGGCAGTCAATCCACTGAGCCACAACAGCCAGAGCTATTTTTTTCCCATAAGGCATCAACTTTTATTTGATAGCCTTTTCAGAACTATCATTTTAAAAAGATTTTTAAAGAATTTTAGAGAGAGGGGAAAAGAGGAAGAGAGAGTGGGAAAAACAGACGTGTTAGAGAAAGGGCAACCTGTTGCCTCTTGCATGCCCCCAACTGCCCCCCACCCACTGAACCACATCAGTCAGGGCCAGGACTTTTTTTTTTTTTAAGATTTTATTTATTTTTAGAGGGGAAGGGAAGGAGAGAGGGAGAGAAACATCAATGTGTGGTTGCCTCTCCTGCACCCCCTGCTGGGAACTGGCCTGCAACCCAGGCACGCACCCTGACTGGGAATGGAACTGCGGTTGTTTGGTTCGCAGGCCTGTGCTCAATCCACTGAGCTACACCTGCCAGGGCCGACTATTATTTTTTAATGGCTCCAAAATACAACTGGATTACAACTATTCCGATGCAGTTGGTTTCACCTTTATGTACTGTTTTTCCTTCTTCCTTTTAAAGAGAAAACTACAGGCCCCAAATGGTGTCCCTCGAGCTAAAGGTCCATACTATCAAACCTAGACTTAATATCTGATCTAATTACAGTTTCAGCCAACCTCTCCCAGAAATGTCATCTTAAACTACTAGCCTGGAGTTTTCCGGTCAAGCACCAATAAGGTAACCTGTCACGTGGGCCCTCTCTACTCCCCACCCCGCAATAGGAAGAAGAGGCAATCTGCATGATAAAAACCATGCCATTTGCCTCCCTCTCCTAAAGATGTCCTGGCCTACAAATAATCCTTTCTTTTCCTCTTTTCAAAATCGCTGCCTAACCCCGTTCTTTTAGGTGGGATGCTGCCTGATTCATTGAATTGCTTAATAAGCAATTAGATCTTCAGTTTATTCAGTTGGTTTTTTTATAACACTCATTAAAAAAACAAAACCTCATATAAATATACAAAACCATTTGAGGATAGTTTTCTTCCCTAGAGAGCAATGATTCTCATTTCTGTTAATAACTTATTTGGAATAAACAGCTTACTTTAAGTAGACTGATCCACATATGCAAAGTAAGATGCATATTTACAATAATTCACAAGGTCACTTGGTAGTTTAAGGGATATGCTTTGAAAAGTCAACTGTGTCAGTTAATCGTGTTGTTTATCTTAGATGCTATTTTTTTAGTATTCTATTTGACAGTCTGTGGTTTCAAACAATATGAACAAAGAAATGTTAATCCCTATTTTACTTCTGTTTTGTGTTATTTATCCTTAAATACTTGAAACAGTGAACGACTACAGATATATCCTTAAACACAATTCATCTAATTCTCTTTGTAAAAATTTTACATTTTTAAACTACTTGGCAGTCCACTTAAAACTGCAAAGTGAACTTAAATGCTAGTCTTAAATCTTCCTAACTCTCCTACTGGGAAATCCTAGAAAATCGAACTAATGAAATACAGTTTATACTTTTAAAATTCTAATTATGACTGTCATATTAAACTGAAGGTGAGACTAAAACTGCTGCATCTGTTAAATACGTCAAGCAATGTACTATGTCATACGTGTTACTTAGTACGAGTGTAAAAGTCAAGTCCCCGGCAGAAATCGGAGCGCCTCCACTCTATCTTCTGGAAACGTATAAATTAACCATTCTTCCCAGCGACCCTCCCCCCACCCTCCCTCCGCCTTATTTTACATGTAGATAGGGCGACTCAAGTCTTTTGAATTTGAAGGGCTGCTATCTCGACTCCATTCTTTTCATCATCCTGTTTTGAATGACACCGAGAACGTATGGATTCTTTTATAAAACCACCCCCTGGATGCTGAGCTCTGTTCTCCTGGCAGCCAGTTAATTTTGCATAGCAGTTAGTACCGACTTCTCAAAATTGGCCATCCAAATGTAGTTCAAGGATGTCTCTTGTAGTTCCTCAGTGGTCTCAGATAATCCTGTTTTGTTTCTCCAAACCCGAAGGGGAGGGAATTACATAATTACTAAATTCCCAGTTGGAGTGGTGTGGAGAAGGATACCGTAATCGAAAACTATACGGTCAATTCAACCCCGTCCCGCGCGACAGGGCAAGGATCCAGCATATGCCTTATTTTAAAATCTATTCTACTTATTCACTGACCGCGCAGGGCTGGGCCACAGGCACATGGTCCTCCTCTCTAGCAGCCAGTCAGCTGGGAGCAGCAGATGGGCTCATTTGCATTTTTCTTCTTACACTTCGACAGGCAAATTAAGGATTTTTTTAAAATTTACATTTTCGCTGTTTGCCTGAAACGTAAACGTGGTTTAACTGTTGGATTGGGCTTCTCTGACCTTCACCCACCACACCCACCCCTTAAAGTCACTGAGACTTGAGGAAATACCCGAGTGGTAGGTTGTATATTTATCAGGTTGAAATCTCCAGTTCGGAGTCGGAGAAGTCTCAAGAATCAGCCTTTATTCAGATGGTGACTCGTGTTTTTCTATTTTAAGCGCTGCGTGCAGCTATCCCGTGGGTTTGTGTGTGGATGTAGGTCTCTGAGCCCGCGCACTTCTGAATCTCTCACTTTGCAGCCTCAAAACTTCGGATTACCAAGTAGAAGACAGATTTTTAGCTCTGGAGCTCACAACAGAGGGCGGGTACAGCGCCGGGGGAGTGGCCAGAGACAGAGTTTCCCAGCGCTCCGGTCGCTCTCCAACTACCCTCGACTCCATGCCGGCTCTCAGGGCCACTGGGGTCCCTGCGCCCCTATGTCTTTGTGCCCAGCTCGGCGCGGGAACACCCGCCTGGGGGCCTGAGGAACCACGGAAATGCCAAGAATTCGGGAGAGGCGCGGGCGATAGGGGAGGAAACGCCCCCGCACAGTTGCCGTCCCGCGAAGAAAAAAAAAAGTAAAAAAAAGAGGCTTTTCAAGTCAAACTCCTAGGGTCTGAGAAACCACGTTTTAGATACATAATTCGCAGAGGAGAGAGAACACGCGGCGAGCAGGCGTCAGTCATTGTTAGCCAGCGCTGCCCTGGAGCGCCGTGGGTGCGCGGCCTCCGCCCCACGCCCGGGCAACCGGCGCGGGCCCACGTGGAGCAGCGCGGCACCCGCCAAGCGCGCGGGGCCGCCTGGGTCCCCGGATTGCGCGCCCTAGCTCCCCGCCGCGGCCGTTCACGCCCGAGCGCCGCCGCTGGTCCCGCGTGTGCCCCGCTGAGGGGGAGGGGCGGGCCAGGGGTGGGGGCGGAGGGGTTGTAGTTTCAATGCGGCGGGGGCTCCTGTGTCCTTGTGCGGAAATGACACACGGAGTCCCGTCACGTCACGCGAGAGCGCAGCGCACGGACACACACAAAGAGAGGGGAAAATACACGGCGCCCGCCCGCCGCCCCCAGGAACTCCCCGGGCCGCCCCGGCCAGGCCGTCGCGCGAGTCCCCAGCTCCCCGGACCTGCGCTACCCCGCACCCCACGTGGCGACCAAACTCGGCGCGGGCCCGCTCTGCAAAGTACAGAACTCGTGTCCCAGGTAAGCGCGGGGCGAACCAAGCTGGCTGCGCGGCGGCGGCGGCTTCAGGGCAGACGGACTAGAGAGTGCCTGCAACATCCATGCCGGGGTGGGGGCGGGAGCAGGGGAGGGGACGCAAAGGGGGGCTGCCCTGAGCGCGCCCGGCGGGAGGAGCGCCTACCCCCGCGCAGGGACGTGTGGCCGAGCAAGCGCCCGGCGCCCACGGGCTCGCCGCGCCCATTGTGCCGCGCACCCCTTTGTGCCGCTCGGAACGCGGCAGCTCCATGGCGTCCCCGGGAGCGAGCGCGCCGCGCGGGGGTGGGGGAGACGCGGAGTGGAATAGTCCGCGCTACCGCCGCTGCCTGCTCCACTCGCGCCGTGCGCCGGCTCCGCTCCCCTGCCTGGCGCCGCGATGGAGCGGCCGGGCCCGCCGGAAGGCTCTGCGGAGATCGCGGGGACTCGGCGCCCGCGCTCGGCCAGGCAGCGGCGGGGGACGTTTTAGCATGAAGAAGGGGGTGTCTGAGCGGAGCAGGGGGCGGGGACTGTAGGGCGATGCGGAGTCGGGCGCGGGAGGCCAGAGGAGCTGGCGTTTGGAGGGACGCTACCTCCGGGGTCTGCAAATGGAGTGAGGCCGGCTTACGGCGGTTGTCGCTGGGAGCGCACAGAGATGGGCCCCGCCTCCAGGGGGCGCAGCGCTCCCTCCCCGTCGTCCACGACGGTGTTCGCGGTTCTCGCTGTCCGGGAGCCGGAGGGGGCCCGGTTCCCTTGGGTGTGCACCCTGGCTGTGGAGAGGCCTTCGCGGGCGGCCGCGACTGGAGCTTGGGGCTTTCGCCGCTGCCCCTGACCCCTCACTTTTGCTATTTTTGCAAACGTGATTACCCACGCAGACTTTGCCCTCTTCTTATCGGTGAGTTGTGCAGCAAACCGTATGAAGACTTGTCTACCTAAACATACATTTTTTTTAACCAGGTGTTTTCACAGGTAAAATGATTGCTCAGGTGGCCTATCGGAAAGAATTTTACGCACCGAAGCTAACCAGACAAGGGTGTGTGGAATAGACTCAACACTTCAGAGTCGGAAACGTTCAATTTCTCTTTTTTTAAAGTAACTTTGGAGTGTTTAACGTACACAGGGCATTGCGTAGGGTGTCACAAAGCCAAGACTGCAGAAAACTGAGCTCTGGGCCTGATTCGATATATAAAAAAGAGGGTCGGAGGAAGCTCTTTTGCTTTCCATTCCCCACCCCCACTCCCCTTTTTAAAAAAACAATCATCCTTACCTAGTTTGTGGGTTTTTTTAATCACCATATAGGACCCTGTTAGTTCTCTCACCCTCAATAATGAGATTTGCTCAAGATTTTGTATTTTAAGTTTTCCATCCCTAGCCACTACCTCAGTGTTTGATGACTTAGTAGGTGCTCAATAAACATTTGCTAAATGAATGGAGAGCCTCTTGGATTCCATTCCAAGATGGACGGTGGGAGTTGGTGCAGCCTGTTGCTGCTAGTGGGTTAACCCATCTGCACAAGGTCCTTGTAGTGAAATTCATGGAGCCTTTAAAATTTGTCATGTAAAAACTCCTGGATGTGGATTTTACCAGAGGCCCCATCTCCTTGTCAAAGTAATTTAAGAGAGAAGTTTTATATCCTCACCACCACCACCACCACCACATACAAGGCACTAATAGTAGCAGTAGGCCAGTTAGGACCTAGCAGACAAGGTAATCAACATGTCAACCTATTGAAGGGTATCACATCGACACACTTAATTAACACTTTTCATTTTGGTCACTCCTAAGTTACTAAGCATCCCTTACATCAGAAAAGGAATAGAATTGTCTAACAGGGAGAGGGAAATTGGAATCCACCATGGTAGAGGTTTGAGTGACAATGTCCTGCAGGAACGAATGGCTTACCTGCCACTCTTTAGAGCTGTCCAGAAAGCCCCCGAAGCACTGAGGAAAGACACAACGTGCATCTCACATTTTATAATGTAGAAAGAAAGACAGGAAGGTTGCCGGCCGACCAAAAAGAGTGTGGTGTCAGTGTACGGAAGGCTGGGGTGCAGTGTTTTGTTTCTGGCACTTAATTTTGATGACAAGTGGAGAATTGTGGTTGCCACCCTTATTTATTGTTCATTGTCCCCATTATCAGCTAACGTAAGTTTGGAGGAATTATTTGTAGAATTTGTCTTTGGGGTGATGGAACTTTTCTGTATCCTCTCACTGGTGCTTATAGGGAGGTATACATGTGCTTTTTCACAGAACTGTGCACCCTTCCCTCCAGAGTGTAAATTTGACTGTATGGTAATGTTTTTAAAATCACATTTAAAGTCACATGTAATGCATATGCCAGAAAGAAGGATGTTTTAATGTGCTTTGTGCACAGCACCTTGCTCCTGCTGTTTCCTCCTCCAGACTGGACAATTGCTCTCCTCGCCCTTCTGATGCTCCAGTATCTCCTACAACATTATTATTTGAGCCCAAAGCTCTTGTGGTTTCTGGAACTAGCTGCCACACGTGACCTGCTCATGCCAAACTAAGAGCTCTCCATGCTGGCATCAGGCCTTCGGTGTGTCACAGAGGAGGGATGCTGTTTCACTCGTGGCGGCAGTTCCGTTCGTCACCATATGACCAGACTTTTACAGACTGTTGTTTCAGAGCTGAGTTGTTCTCAGCAGTTCACCCGGTGGCATGCCTTTCCTCCACTTTTAATCCAACTTGCAACATGTACAAAGTCAGCCCTCTTAGTAGTACAGTGTTTTGTTTTCTACCAGGGGCAACTTTTCCTCTTTTCTGGCCTGATCTTCCATTATTATTGACCAATAAAACACAGTTGCATCAATATCTATAAGGGCATTGATTGCTCAGTTGAATAAATTACTGATCTTGTGTGCAGGGGGTTGATGGTTTGAGTATGAAGCTAGTAGATCAAAGAATGGAGGTTTGGGGGTGGGGTGGGCGTTAGTTTACACCACATTATTCGCCAACTCTAATTAGCTTGTGTGGTCACAAGACAACATACTTGAAAAAGTGGGAAGTACAGAGGAAACCTAGCTTATACCTCCTAGGAAAATTAGTCACCATTGTCCAGTCAGTCACATGGGTGGCTGCTGGGATGTGCTGGCCCTCCTTTTCTCCTTGACCCTCAGCTTCTGGGTGCCAAGTTTAAAGTTACAAGCAAAGTCTTATGCCTCCTACCATTGACACCTAAAGAAGTTTCCTTTCATGAGTCCAAAGGCGCTTGAGTAGAATCCTTTTGCTGAGGAAGACAGCAGGTTTAGTTAGTCACTTTCTGAAAACGCAGTGTCTAAAGGGTGAGACGCCAGTTCCCAGGCAGGCAGGGCTGTGTGGTTGCCCTTCCCTGCCTGCTGAAAGATGAGGCTGTGCTCTGACTGAGTAAGGAAGGCAGTGACAATTACAGCGTTAGAGAAACTCGGGGTAAATTGCCCTGGTTTTGTGAGGTCTGGCGTTTTTCAAACAGCATGTGCAGATATGTCTAAAAATAAAAACATTGTGAACATACCCTGCAAGTCCCATGGGCAGGGTGCCACTGGTGAGAGAGCCGGGTTCTGAGAGCCCCAAGGCTCCCGGCTGTTCCCGCGGACCCAGAGACAGCGCAAGAGAGCGGGGCCTGGGAATGTTCTTCCTGTCCTCCGGGAGCGCTCGGTGTGATGTCACCCTGCAGTTTCTTTATTTCTTTCATTTGAAAGACAAGTCATACAAACCTTTTCAAAAGCTTAGAGTCATTTAATTTTTAGTTTTAAAAAGTAGTCACTATTAAGATGTACTTTATACATCTTTTTTCTTTAAAAAAAGCTTTATAATGGGTAACATTGACAGAGCGGTCCTTTGCCAGGTGCCTTCCCTTCTGTAGTTTTCACTGAAACTCTGAATGAGGCGGTGTGCACAGCTCCATTTTGCAGAAGAGCCAACGTTTGGGTGGGTAAGCAACCTGCCCGGTGTTAGAAGTTAATTGGAGGTGGGGCCGGGGTTTGAACCCAGTTCTGCCTGATCTTAAAGTTTAGTAGGGAATCCCGTTTTCTGCGAGATCAGCCGCACTAGTCCCTCCCTTGGTGTTCTGGGGCCCGTGTGGCCAGTTGACTTGCTCCTGCACGGGAGCCCAGCCTCCAGTGGGTGCTCAGCAGGGAATGGCGGCAGCGCCCCATTGTGTCCCTGCTCTTCTTGGAAGGCTGGAACGAGACCATCAGGCCGAAGTGCACCGCACTCCTTTCCTGCTCCTTGCTTTCTGCAGCACTCTCCTCCAAGTGAGGCGCAGATTGCGTGGGCTCTGGTTCTCTCTCTGCAAAATAAGTGGGCTCTCTGAGGACTGCGTGGGCCAACATGTGAAACCGTTAGACCGTGGGGCCAGTGTTACATGAATGTCAGCTGCTGTCCTCCCTTTATGTTTCATTTTTAAAAATCTGCATGACCTGCAGGAGATGGGTGTCAGGAAGTCACATCATGCGTGACTGTTGAGCCCTGGCTGACTGGCTCAGTTGGGTAGAGTGCCGTCCCAACACGACAAGGTTGTGGGTTCAGTCCCCAGTCAGGGCACACACAAGAAACAGCCAACAAATGCATAAGTAAATAGAACAACAAAGCCATCTCTCTCCCTCTCTTCCCTCTTTTTCCTCCCTTCCTCTCTCTTAAAGTCAATTTAAGAAAATTACAAATTGTGAAACAGTTGAGAAAAGTATGAAGTAAGGTTCAGTTGGTGCCTAGTGGAACATTTAAATCCTTGAGTATGTTTTTGATAGTAACGTTTCAGATGGTTTGAGCAGAGTCTCTGCTGTACCTTTGTGTGCGGCAGTGCCACACAGCTGCCATCCCCACGGTCTCAGGTTCCAACCACATTCGTCTTCTGAGGCTCATCAAGGAGACCTCCTTCAGTGGTGAGTGTTTGCTTCACTTTATATCTGGAAACGTGACTTGGGAGATGAGGCTTTGCCGCCACGGTGGCCTGAGCTGCTGGCCGGGGCCAGCTGCTCTAGGACCTGCACCTCAGCCCAGTGGCAAGTCCC